CGGTTCTCTGTGTACAGCCCTGACTATCCTGGAACTCAGCCTGTAGCTCAGGCTGATCTCAAACTCAGGCTTTTGCCTTCCACGTGCTGGGGTTAAAGGTGTGCGCCACCACTCCCCAACGTACTGATATAATTTTTAAAACATGAAGCCTTGGTCACATGGAGATGTGTATGTGTGTGTGTGTGTGGCATGTGTATGTATGTTTTGTTTTGTTGAGAGCTGTACTCTGTAGTCCAGGCTAGCCTGGAATTCACTGTATACCCATGGCTAGCCTCAAGTTCTCAGCAGCCCTGCTGCAACCTCCTAATTACAGGGAAATACACTTTTTTTCTTTTTCCTGAAACAGGGTTTCCCTGTAGCTTTGGAGGCTGCCCTAGAACTTGCTCAGGAGACCAGAGAAATACGTTCTTTTTCATCATATAAAAGTAACCTTGGGCCAGGCTGTGGTGGTGCAGGCCTTTAATCCCAGCACAGCCTGGTCTACGGAACAAGTTCCAGGACAGCCAGGGCTACACAGATAAACCCCGTGTGGAAAAAAAAAAAAAAAAAAAATGGTAACCTTGGCTGGGGAGATGGCTCAGAGGTTAAGGGTGTCTGCTGCTTTGCCAGAGGGCACAGGCGTGGTTCTCAGCACTCACAGCCATTTGTAAGTCGAGGTCCATGGGAACTGGTTCCTCCTTCGGCTTCTGTGGGCCCCAGACATGCATGCAGGCAAATACCCACATATAGAAAACAGAAGACTGAAAAGGAAGTAACCTTTTAGGACTTAGTGGTATAAGAACATATAATCCAGGGGCTGAGGAGATGGCTCAGTGGGTTCAGTACTTGTTTGAAGGCACGGGGTTCCCCAGCCTTCACATGCAGGGGTGCTGGTGGTGCAGGCAGGTGGGGTTGCTGGCCAGCCAGTCTAGCTGGAACAGTGAGTTCTAGGTTCAGTGGAAGACCCTGTCTCAGAAAATAAGGTAAAGCAGGATTAAGGAAGGTAGCCTGGCAGCAGCCTCTGGTCTCCACAGACAGAGATACACAAGTAAACATTTAAAAAATAGAACTTTTAGTAGTACTAGTGGTTAGAGCTAGAGTCTCACACACTAGGCAAGCAATTTACCATGGCACTATCCAACACCTGACCCCCAGAAAATAATGCCTATCTCCGTCCCTCCAATTTACACAGGAAAGCACAGATGGCAGTTTGGTTTGTATCTATTTGATATGTATTTGCAAATGTACACATGTACTATTTTTAATTTTTAATTGCATTGTGTGTGTGTGTGTGTGTGCGTGCGTGCACTTGCACACTTACACTTGCCATGGCATCTGTGTAGTAGTCAGAGAACAACATACAGGAGATGGCTACCCCTCCCTACCGTATTAAATTCAGATCGTCAGGTTAGGTAGCCATCTTTACACACTGAGCTATCTTGCCAGCCCGTCATAATGTACTAAACAAATGTAGTATGCACACCATTCTGGACCTTGTTTTTTTTTTTTTTTTTCTAAATATGTCTTAGATATGTAGAGATAGTTTAGTGCAAAGAGACCTTCAGTCTGAAGGGCTGCACAGTGGCTATGATCATATTGTAGCCACCAACCCCCCCATTGAACAGTAAACATTCAGAGATTTTTTTTTTTTTTTTGCCAGTACAGATTGTACTACACACCACATGTGCAAGTGTTTCTTGAGAACTCTCTCAGTTACTTTTCTATGGCTGTGACAAGATCCCATGCTGAGCAGTGGTGGCACATGTCTTTAATCCGGAGGCACATGTCTTTAATCTGGAGGCAGAGGCAGGTGTCCCATCCTTCCCAAACAGTTTCATTTACTAGGAACTAGGAATCAAAGTATCCAGATATATGAGCCTGGGGAGGGTGGGGATGGGGGTGGGGGTGACATGACACATTGTTCAAAGTAACACACTCTCCCGGAATTACCCATCAATGACACATACTATCCCTCCACAAGGCTACGCAAAGCTGTATTAACCAATCATGTACCATATGGCTTGGAAATATGCTTGAAATCTTTTCTTGGGGGGAACAGGTAGGATATAAATAATGAATTGGTGTCTTTAGAAAAAATAAAAAACAGTCCTCAGCCTGGGAGTGAAGTGACTTGGAACCCAGGGTAATTACTAGTCTTGGGTCCCAGACCACAAGGTGTGCCTGCCATCCAGCCAGAGCTTGCTGGTTTGAGGCCAGCCGCTCTTAGGAGGGACTGCCCGCCCCTGACCCGTAGAGAAAAGCCCTAGGATGGCTAGCTCACCTTGGCTGCACCAGCTCTGGGCGCCTTCCTGGCCCGGCTAAGGCAGACTGCCCGGCTACCGTGGGTGGAACTGCATTGGAAAACAGTCACGCCTCTTACGGTGGCTGGCAAGACTCAGGGGCACAGTGCTGGGGCCAAAGGGGGCCAGTTTTACTATTTAGTGCAGTAATACTGACTTTCCTTTTTCAAACTGTTAGTGTATGTATTTCCAAAGGTCCGTCAGTCCATCTGTCCTTCCTTCCTTTTACTCTTCCTTTGCAAGAGAGCCTTTCATAACTCTAAGAAAGTAGTGAGGAAAGTCAGGTTGGGGGTCATGACTCTAGTTTCCCAACCTTGTTAAAGATGCAACTGTAGGGCTGGGTGTGGTCCGCACTGTTAACCCAGCACTCGGCAGGCAGAGGCAGGCCGATCTCTGTGAGTTTGAAGCCAGCCTGGTCTACAGAGCGATTTTATTTTAGTTCCGCCAGGGTTACATAGTGAGAGACCCTGATGGGCTGGGGGAGGAGAAAATAGTGTGTTTTCCCTTCTTTTTATTTGTGCTTTGCTTTACTAATTTCCTTGTGGTTATACATGTGCACATTCCTAAAGACATAGTCTATTCCTTTTAACTACAGTCCGTAGGCAGTGGCCACAGAACAGGTCCCACCTTCTTTATATGACAATCCTTCACTTTTCTGAGTCGAAAATGTGATTTTAAAAAAATGTGAGGTTTTTGTTTTTTGTTTGTTTAAAATGCTGCTGTGAGACCTGGACCTTAGACTTCCATACTCATACTTACACCTGGGCGGACACGGTACACTGCACTGCACTGTCTCTTCCTTCCTTTCTTCCTTCCTTCCTTCCTTCCTTTCTTTCTTTCTTTCTTTCTTTCTTTCTCATGGGATTCAGTTGTCTCCTTCCAACGTGTGAGTCCCAGGGATCCAAATCCTCAGGTGTGGAATTAGGGATGGATTGAATACATTCGTCAAGATCCCTTGAAAAGAAACCAAAACTAGAGTCTAGATAATTCTAGCCTCAGTGTTCCGAGTGAGTTTCTGGGAAATGACAGCATGCTAAACTACCTACTTGGCAAAGCAAAATCAAATAGCATTCTGGAAGATGTTCAATAGCCACTTGCTGTTGTATGCTTTCAGGTAGAGTTGTTCCAGGACTGGAGAGATGGCTCAGAGGGTAAGAGCACTGGCTGTTCTACCAGAGGCCCTGAGTTCAATTCCCAGGAACCACATGGTGGCTCACAACCATGTATAATGGGATCCTGTTCCCTGGCCTGGCCTGAAGGAGTACATGCAGAGAGAACACTCATATACATAAAGTCATATATAAATAAATAGTTCTTTAAGAGCTGTTTCTGAACGAAAAGACTTTTGAGTCCTTCTCAAACATTAAACTCTCCCTGAGCGTTGGGTATACACCCTGGATTCTCGGCAGGAACTTGGCAGCTGGGATAGGATCAGGTAAGGCTTCTTCTATCCTTGAACAATGTGAGGCCTAATGGCCACCCCCAAACCCTTGGTGTCTGGTGAGGTGGTTATGTCTGGAGGCTGACCATCAGCGGGAGGCTTGGATTTCACACTGATCAGATCAGAGACCACCAGGCCTGCACACAGACCCAAGTTCAAGTCCCAGAACCTACTCAAAGGCTGGGGGAGAGAAGCGACTCCACAGAGTTGTCTTTTAACTTCTACACACACACACACACACACACTCTTGAGTGTACACACACACACACTTGAGTGAACACACACACACACTCTTGAGTGTACACACACACACACACTTGAGTGTACACACACACACACACACACACACACACACACACACACAGGACCCTGGGGGAGCCACCTGTGGTAGAAGAGCATACCTTCCCCCCAGCCTGCTGGCACCATTGTCTGTGAAAACTTCAGTGACTTCTCGTGCCCTGGCTAAGCTAAGGAGCGAGAGTCAGTCTGTCTGTCTGCTCCTTTCCACTTACCCACCTCTCCCGAGGAGTCACAGCATATCTGGCAGACTTGAATCTTTCCTGGCGAAGTGGGAGCTCCTCCATGGAGGGTTCCAGAGAACTAACAAAGGCTTTCTCTCAGCCAACCATTTCTGGAAAACTAGGCAGATGCAATTGCTGTCCTTATTTCCCGAAGCCCACCTAGGCCCAGTGTCTTAGCCCAGTGGCTGACGTAGCAGGGACCTAACACTAGCAGTGTACTTGTTTAATTTTACTTTATAGGTTTGCGTGTTCTGCCTGCATGATCTGCACACCAGTTGTACAGGGTATCAAATCCCCTGGAACGGGGATTACAGACGTCTGGGTTGTGAACTGGCACATGGGTGCTGGGAATTGAACCCGGGTCCTCAAGAAGGGCATCCAATGCTCCTAACTGCTGAGCCAGCCTCGAGAGATAGCCATCCAATTGAAAAGTTTATCTTTGCACGGCAAGCAGTACCGTTCTTTAAACGTCTGCCCACACTTTGTGCTACAGAGCTTCACTGGACTCAAAGTATATTTCACTTTTTGTTTTCCTTTACTTACTCTTTAAGGATATATTCAAAATATCAAGGGCGACGGTGACTGAGGACCTGACAGTGAGGGGCGAGAGTCCTGAGGTCTCAGGGCAGCCCTCTGCCACCTGATGGGACCCAAGCTGGGCTTGGTGGAGGCTCCCCGCAGGCCCCGCCCCTCCCCGGCCCCGCCCCCAGCCCGGGCCCCGCCCCCGCTCTCCATAGTTACGGCGCCGTGAGGTGGCGGCCATCTTGGCTGTGGAGCGATGAGCGGGTCGAACCCGAAGGCAGCGAGCGCGGCGCCGGCGGCTGGGCCGGGCGGGCTGGCGGCTGGCAAGGAGGAGAAGAAGAAGGCGGGCGGCGGCGTCCTGAACCGGCTCAAGGCGCGGCGCCAGGCGCCCACACACACGGCCGACGGCGGCCCCGGGGCCGCGGTCACCGAGCAGGAGCTGCTGGCGCTGGACGCGATCCGCCCCGAGCACGTCCTGCGCCTGGACCGGGTCACCGAGAGTGAGTGCCGGGCGGGCGGGCGGGCCGCGGGGGTGGGGGCCCGGGCCCGGGCCTGAGGCCGCCCCGGCCGGCCCCGCCCTTCCCCGGCTCGGCGGGCTGGGCTTCCGGGGCCCCGCGGCGCGGCTGGCCCGGCCCGGGCCGCTGCAGATCCCGCCTGCCCGGCCCGGCCCGGCCCGGGCCGCACCTGCCGGCCCCGCCTTCGCCCGGCTCGGGCTCGCGACGGCCCCTCCCCCGCAGGCCGAGCTCGGGTCCCCACCGCGTCCCCGGGCGGCGCCCCTTTGTGTGCAGGTGGGGCTGGTGCTGCCCGCAAACACGTGGCCGTGCCATTGCTTACAGGCGTAAAAAGCTGTGCCGCAAAAACAAGATAAACTTTAAAGTTCCAGCGTTACCTACACGCTGGCACGCGGGTCTTGCTCTTGGCGTTATTATTTTTTTTTTCTAGAATTTACAGCTGTGTCAGGGTTTCAGAAGTGTGGCTTTTTTTTTTTTTTTTTTTTTTTTTTTGCATAAAAAGCCACTTTCCTGCCTTCTTAGCTGTGCAAGGAAGGGCGAGGAGAAATACGTGTCTGTTTCCTGATGATCTCTTGTCTTTTGGGAACTGCCAAGCCCGCCCCTGACCTGACACCCTTTTCCTTGCCATTAGTTGCCCCCCAGGAGTTGGCAGTCACCTGGTTAGCCTCGGCTTGCCCTCCTTCCCTCCCCTGCCCTTGAGACTTCTTAACCCGCCTCCCTGAAGGATGCCAGAGTGTCTGCCGGATGGCTTCTGTAAGATGGAGTTCAGGTTGGTGGTGGTAGCTCTGGCGACTTGGAAAATGGAGTTCCAAGGGAAGTGGCTACCGCTGGTCCAGTGCGTGCAAAAGGGAACCTCCATCTCCTAAAACATTTTCATTTTCGTTTGCATGCTTTGGTGACCCAGTTTTCTGACGCTGTTTGGGTTGGGACTCCGGGTTGCCTGTCTGAAAGCAACTTTAGATAGTTAACAGTGCAAAGCTGTTTCAGTTCTCGATTTCCATTTGGGGACTTGAAAGCACAGACATGGTCAGCATCTGACTACCAGCATCCTATGTGTCGGCCTTGCCGGCTGCTGGTGTCAAGGGTGAGTTAGGATTTCATGTGTCTGGTCCTGTAGACATACTAACAGCCCTCAGGCCTCCTCTGAAGAAGGCTCTGCCCACCCTGCACGTCCTTAGAGAAAAGCTGCTACCAGAGCTTAGTGACCTTTGGACTTTGTCACTCAGTTCTTCTGTGAGTTATTTCTTGAGCACCTCCTCAAGACTCTCAACTCACCCCACAGGGTTTTGGACTTACAGTAGCTTTCAAGTTTGCTATCTCAGTGGAGACCGGCCGGCTTGTGAAACGTGAAACGCCAGACACAAACAAGCATGCAGAGGGAGTGCTGGAGCGGGAGAGGGTGGGTGGGCGTCAGATGGGCGACAGCCTTCCTGTGCCTTCCTGTGCCGGGCAGCTTTGGCTGGCGTCTCTCCCGGCTTGCCGTGGGTGCTGTTTAGGCTTGGTATCCTCACTGGCACGTTTGCCCTGCTACCCTGTGAGTGCATCCATACTTTTGTGCAGCCCGCAGACTAAGTGTGGCTCTAGCCTTTTAAGTGGTTGAAGTAGATGTTAAACTCGTGTTGCGTGTGGGTACTGAACTTGCCCGCCATGTGGTTAAACTCGTGTTGCGTGTGGGTACTGAACTTGCCCGCCATGTGGTTAAACTCGTGTTGCGTGTGGGTACTGAACTTGCCCGCCATCTGCACCAACAGCTTTCTCCCTTTCTGTACAGCTGCTCGTTCACTTCCTGTCCACAGGCCGTGAGAAAGTCACACCCTGTGTGGATGCATAGTCTGAGCTATTTAAACCTGGCCTTTTCCAGAAACGTCTGCTGATCTGTTTTCTGATACAGTTGGCAAAGAACCCCATTATTACTTGTTAGCCAGTATGAAATATTTTTTTAAATCTTTTATTTCTCTGAGCCATCTTGCTTGAATCTTCCAATGTTGATTATACAAGAGGATTTTGGGGGTTGGGGAGATGGCTTAATGTACAAAGTGCTGCTTGCTCTCTCAGAGGACTTGAGCTCAATGACCAGCACCCTCATGACGGCTCACAACTACCTATAACTCCAGTCCTGGGGCTATGGCATCTTCTGGCCTCTGCACCCGTGTGATACAGGCGAACACACCATAGAATGGTCCCCATAGGCTGGTGTGTTTGTATGCTTGATCAGCAGGGGTGGCACTCTTTGAAACCATTAGAAGAATTGGGTGTGGTGGTGTGGGAGGAAGCATGTCACTGGAGTGGGCTAGGAGGTTTCAGCAAGCCCACAGGAGGTCCTGCGGCTCTGTGTACTGCCCACAGAAGGTCCTGCGGCTCTGTGTACTGCTCACAGGAGGTCCTGCGGCTCTGTGTACTGCCCACAGAAGGTCCTGCGGCTCTGTGTACTGCCCACAGAAGGTCCTGCGGCTCTGTGTACTGCCCACAGAAGGTCCTGCGGCTCTGTACTGCCCACAGGAGGTCCAGCGGCTCTGTGTACTGCCCACAGGAGGTCCAGCGGCTCTGTGTACTGCCCACAGGAGGTCCTGCGGCTCTGTGTACTGCCCACAGAAGGTCCAGCGGCTCTGTGTACTGCCCACAGAAGGTCCTGCGGCTCTGTGTACTGCCCACAGAAGGTCCTGCGGCTCTGTGTACTGCCCACAGAAGGTCCTGCGGCTCTGTGTACTGCCCACAGGAGGTCCTGCGGCTCTGTGTACTGCCCACAGGAGGTCCTGCGGCTCTGTGTACTGCCCACAGGAGGTCCAGCGGCTCTGTGTACTGCCCACAGGAGGTCCAGCGGCTCTGTGTACTGCTCACAGGAGGTCCAGCGGCTCTGTGTACTGCCCACAGATCAACATGTGACTCCCAGCTATTGCTCCCGCCATGTTCCCGCCATGATCATAGCAGACTTAGCTCTGAAAGAGAGTGTTTGGACCTTGAGACATGCTTAGTGGTTGAGAGCACTCAACCAGGGGACTTGGCATAATAACTACCAGTAATTATGATTCTAGGGGTCTGACACCGTCTTCCTGTCTCTTCCAACACGGCACGAATGGGGTGCTTACATGCAGGCAAAACACCATACATAGGAAATAAACATAAATCTTAAATAAAAAGCAAAAAGAATGGGGGACATTTTCAGTGAATTGTATCAGGGAAGAATACATTTGCTTCAAAACCAGGGGATGAAACAGATGGTCATTTTGGAAGAGTACCTAATAGCAATCATTGGTCTCTCCTTTTCAGATTATTTATGTAAGCCTGAAGACAATGTCTACAGTATCGATTTTACACGCTTCAAAATTCGAGATCTGGAGACGGGGACGGTGCTCTTTGAGATCGCCAAGCCTTGCATCTCAGGTAGGCCTGGGCATTGTGGACTCACCCACCGCCTGGGGAAGGAAAGGTCTTTGGAAAGTCTGTGTGCCTATGCCAGCACATGTGTTTCTGGGTTCCACTGTGTCCCCATTCCATGACTGAGATCACTTCCTGTGGCCTCGCCTGCTGCCTGTACTACTTTGGAGCTTTGTTAAAAGACTGGTTCTTTAAATTTTTTATTTGTTCATTTATTTTTGCGTGTAAATACCTATGTGCACAGCTTGGTGGGGTCAGTTATCCATTTTCACATATATGTGGGGTCCAGGCATTGATTCAGGGCGCCTGGCTTGTGTGGCAGGCAGGCAGGCTCCTTTACACCTGAGCTACCCACTGGCCTGGCTTTGTTTTTGGGATAGGTTATGTAGCCCAGGTTGGCCCAGAACTTGCAGTGTAGCCTGACACCCACCCTCCACACACACCGTGTGCTGGGGTTACAGGCTCATGTCATCACAGCCAGCATGGGAAGCTGACATTTATTGTTTGGGGGCACTGTCCGGGTGCTTATCATGTCCCTGTGAGTGGCTCAGCCTCTTTTTACTGAGGGAGCTGAGACCCAGAATTCACAGGGGACACTTCCCTAAGGCCCTGGGCTTGTGGAGTGAGTCACACTGCCTGCAGTGGCAAAATCAACCCTTGCAGGAAAACTCTGCTGAGGAAAGCCCTCCCGAGTCCTGCGGGCCGGGCAGCCTCTCGGGCTCTTGCTTACCTTTAATACTGCGTTAGGCTTCCTACCCAGGCCTGGCTTAGCAGTTTTGTTTTTGTTTTGAAGGCTTAAAAACACATTAAAAACCACAACAACTGCAAAAACTTTAGCTGGGTGTGGTGACGCATGCTTTTAGTCCCAGCACTCAGGAGGCAGAAGCAGGTGGATCTCTGTGAGTTCAAGGGCAGCCTCGTCTACAGAGTGAGTTTCAGGATAGCAAGGGCTATACAGAGAAACCCTGTCTTGAACCCCACCCCCAAAGAAAATTATATGTGTGCCACAGTATGTGTCCATTATGGGTTTGTGCACATGAGTACACTTCCCTCTGGAGGTCAGAAGAGGGTGTTGGATCACCGGAACTATAGTTACCGGCAGCTGTGAGTTGTACACAGGGTTGCTGGGAACTGAACTTGAGTCCTCTGCAAGAAGGACCAACTGCTGAGCCAGCTTTCAAGCCCCATGGCTTTCATTCATTCATTCATTCATTCATTCATTCATTCATTCATTCAAATATGCAACAGACTCCAGGACAACATTCCTTTCTGGCTGTGGCGACAAAGATGAGTTCAGAGTTGAAGTCACCGAGCCCTCAGGTGCAAGGACAGGGCACCTGTCACTTTTGCTCTGTTGTTTGGGTTTCTTTGTTTTGGTTTTGTCTTGAGACATCATCTTTGCAGTCAGGGGACAGTTTGTGCGCGTTGGCCCCCCCTTCCCTCCCTCCCTGGGTCACAGCTCTTACACCCTAACCCATTTCTGTTTGTCTATGCATCTCCACAGGCTTTACCTGTCCCCCCGCATGTCCTCCTCCTCAGTGTCTGGCGACTCTTCTCCACCCTCCCTGGGCCCGGTACCCTCAGTTTGACTCTCCTGCCTAGCTGCTCCTGTTCAGCTCTTGGCCAGTCACTTTGTTTATTGAACCAATCAGAGCAACATATATTCACACAGTGTACAGAAGGGTTATCCCACAGCACTTCACACAGTGTACAGAAGGGCTATCCCACAGCACTTCACACAGTGTACAGAAGGGCTATCCCACAGCACTTCACACAGTGTACAGAAGGGCTATCCCACAGCACTTCACACAGTGTACAGAAGGGCTATCCCACAGCACTTCACACAGTGTACAGAAGGGCTATCCCACAGCACTTCACACAGTGTACAGAAGGGTTATCCCACAGCACTTCACACAGTGTACAGAAGGGCTATCCCACAGCACTTCACTGGCTGAGCTATCTTCCTGGCCCCTCAACTGTGATCTCATTACTACTTATGTTGGCTTTTTGAGAAAGGGTTTCTCTGTGTAGCCCTGGCTGTCCTGGAACTCACAGAGATTCGAATGCCTCTGCCTCCTGAGTGCTAGGATTAAAGGTGTGCTCCACCAATGCCTGGCTCAACTCTAATTTTTTTTTTTTTTTTGATTTATAATTATAATGTATACAGTGATCTAGTGATCTGTCTGCATGCAGGCCAGAAGAGGGCACCAGATCTCATTATGGATGGTTGTGAGCCTTCATGTGATTGCTGGGAATTGAACTCCGGTCTTCAGGAAGAGCAGCCAGTGCTCTTAACCTCTGAGCCATCTCTCCATCCTCAACTGTGATTTCTAATGAAACTCATTTTGCAAAGTTCTTCTCATTTGATTTGCTACTCAGCATAAGCTTACATCTCTGTGAAGATAGGTGTTGGGATCTCAGAGAAATCGAAAAGACTTTCCCGAGCTGGGGCTGGGGCTGCCTCTCAGGAGCGGAGCACTCGGTCAGCAGATGGCTTGGTCTGCAGCGCTGAGATGGACAGACAGACTATCCTAGGAAAGGCTTACCCAGCCCTGGCTCACCCTTGCCTACATCTCCACTGTCAGAGGCCAGGCCTGACCAAGGCGCGGAACCCTGTGAAGACTCGTTGCAGATGCTGCGAGTGAACGCTCTGCCTCCCTCCCAGTCTGTTCTTCTGTGCTCTCAGCGGCAGAGCGTCCTTCTGTGAGGCATGCCCGATGACCAGAGACCACAGTGGGTCCAGAGCCCTTGGCCTGTCGGTGGGAGGGCAGTTTCCCATTGTGCCGGGCTGTCACAGGCACAGATGTTTGGTGCTGACGGCGCCCATGTATGAACAATAGAAAGTCCCCCCCCATGTTCATATTTCAACAGTTGGGTCTTTATGTGCACTCAACAGCAGTCTAGACAGAGGCGAGCGTTGACCCCATGAGGGTCCACATGTCAGGTTCCTGGCCAATCTGTTTCCACCCTCCCACCCTGGGGTGGCCTGGGACAGACAGGCCTGCCTCAAGGCCGTAGGTCGGTGTCTTTATTGAAATTCCAGTGACTTCCTATTTGTATTGTTTGAAGGGGCATGGGACCTGTTGGCCCTCTGTGACCCGGTCTCCTGGTTAGTGGTCAGGGCTGACCTAGTCTGTGTTGAGGGTCGTGTCACAGACTATCCAGCCTGTGTGGTTCTGGCTTCACCCAAGACATGCCCACTCCCTGGGTGATGGAGGCTGAGGCGGGTGGGCAGCACTCAGAACTTGCTGCCTTCTTTAAGTGTTTGGGAAGTCAGGCAGGACAGCCTTTTGAATGTGTTTCCTTGTCTGTGAAGTAGAGACACACGTGATCCCTCCCTGCAGGGCCACTGAAACGTGGGCCCAGCGAGTGTGTAGCAAATGGGCTATCGTAACTAGTGTGAGCCTGAGTCACAGTGCCGGGTGGATGGTGGCATGCTAAGGCAAGACTGTTCTTCCAGACCAAGACCAGGGGGCAGAGGAGGAGAGTGTGGACGTGGATATCAGCGTAGGGCGCTTTGTCCGCTATCAGTTCACGCCAGCGTTTCTCCGCCTCCGGACAGTCGGTGCCACGTGAGTGCTATTGTTTGTATGAAGGCAGAACATGGCACTTGTTCTCGGGGAAGATGTGCTCAGTGGGGTTGAGGTTGGCTTCAGTGCAAGGAAGAAGCGAAGGCTAATAGGGATCTGTTTTACAGGGTAGAGTTCACCGTGGGGGACAGGCCTGTGTCAAACTTCCGGATGATTGAGCGGCACTATTTCCGGGAGCGTTTGTTGAAGAATTTTGACTTTGATTTCGGTTTCTGCATCCCCAGCAGTAGGAACACGTGTGAGCACATCTACGAGTTCCCGCAGCTCTCTGAGGATGTCAGTAGGTATCCCTCAGTCTCTCTTCAGGGCTGGAGATTCTGGGGTCTGCAAGGAGCGAACCATGCGTCTGGTCCAGCAGCTCCTCTTGCAGAAGTGCGGAGCTGGTGTCGTCCGACCTCAGTCTTGTGTTTCATACTCTGACTGCTCCTGTGGGATTCAGGAAGAGTGTAGTGACTCGGGCCTGAGTAGAGAGGACAGCTTCCTCCTCACTCTCGCATCTTTCGGGGCTGATGCATTGTGTCCCATGCCCTTAAAGAGTGCGCTCTGCAGTGCGCACCCCACTCACGAAAACACTGCCCGGGTGAGAAGTCTACTGAGATATGGGGGCTTTGTGACATCTCACTCTGGCTTGAGCTGGCCTGGAATGTGCAAACACTTGGAAGAATAGATTAACCTGGGAAGCCAGATAGGCCAGAGGGTTTGCAGGTTCTGAATGTGAAGGGAATCGCTTTGGCCTGGGTGAGCTCAGAGACCTTAAAATGACACCTTCGATGCCTTTCCCAAGGACACTGGAGATGGCAAGAGCCTATTAAATCAGAACTGACAGGGGGTGACCGTAATTAATTTACCTTCCAGCGTGGAAGGAGGTCAAGTCCAGAATTCAGACAGACAGACAGACAGACAGACAAAGGCTTTAGTTCAATGCCTTGTTTGGGTCTCACAGGTAAATAACTACCAGAGCCCTCTCTAGAGAATGGCTTCCCTGTTATTCCCCTGAACACACACCTAGGATTCTTTTGGCTTTCAGCAGGCTCATAAAAAGTGGAAGGGCTTGAGAGATGAGTAAGAGCCCTGGCTGCCCTTCCAGAGGACCTGGGCGCAGTTTCCAGTACCCACAAGGCAGCTCATTAGTCTCTAACTCCAGTTCCAGGGGAATCTGATGCCCTCTTGTGGCCTCTGAAAGTATAACACACATGGTGCACAGACATACATGCAGGCAAAAAACAAAACAAAAAACACCCTTACACATAAAATAAATGCATTTTTAATAGTTTTTATTTAAATTCATTTTATGTGCATTGGTGTGAAGGTATTAAATCCCATGGAACTGGAGTGACAGACAGCTGGGAGCTGCCATGTGGTTGCTGGGCATTGAACTCAGAACCTCTTCAAGAGCAGCCAGTGCTCTTAACCTCTGAGCCTCTCTCCAGCCCAAGAAATACTTTTTTAAAAATTATCAAAACTAAAACCAAAGAAGGGATTTGGGCACAGTGGCGCCTCCCTTTACTCCAGCACTTGGGCTGACAGGCAGAACTCTGTGAGTTTGAGGCCAGCTAGAGCGTTACAGTGAGATCCTGTCTCCACAAACAAAACAAACCAGAGAAACAGATACAGAGAGGCAGGACTGAGTTTTTACTGGAATGCCTAGAGGTGGGCAGCCGCCAGAAGCCAGGCCTTGCTGGGCCAGCAAGAGCACCGAGCAAGCGGCTGTGACTGAGCAGGGTGGCCGAAGAGCTGATTGCACCCTTGTATTGAAGCTGACCTCCTGTTGTGTGGAGCCCTCCCTCTCTCTGATTCTTCTGTTTTATGTCTTGCTGTCCTGGCAGAGCAGTCAGGCTTTGCCAAGGGCTGATTTATCAATGGTGGGGATGCCGTTTGTACACCCGGGTGTGAGCCATATTCACAGTCTTTGCCCTTTCTTCCCTTTCCCCGACTTGCAGTTCGTCTGATGATCGAAAACCCGTATGAGACCCGCTCGGACAGCTTCTACTTTGTTGACAACAAGCTGATAATGCACAACAAGGCTGACTATGCCTATAATGGAGGCCAGTAACTGCTCCAGGATTGGACAGCGAAGGTCCTTTGCTGCCACCACGAGGCACTCAGGGGAATTGCAGCTACTGCTTCTCAGCACCGGAACGTAGTCCAGCGAGCTGCAGCTGGGGTGGTGGCCTGTGCTCCCAGGAGATGCTGGCCAGCAGTTCCTTTTCCCAGTATTTTCCTGCCCCCTAGTTCCAAGAGGTATTATAGTGAAGTAAAAGATTAGGATAAGGTTCCTGGGGCCCAGATAAAACCATTTATTCCTGTGTAGTCTTAGCTATGCTCTGGTTACCCCGGCAGGCCTGATGGTTACCAGTCCTTCTGCAGGTTCCTGGGTGCCGTGGGCAGCTGAAAGACCCTCGCTCCCTCCCTCGCCACGGTGTTGCGTTGGCACAGCCTGCCCTCAGCCTGTGCACAGTCTGAAGCTGCCGGGAATAGACTTGAGAAGATGGAGGGAGCGATGGGAGGTGGTACAAGGGTTTTAGGTTACTACTCCTGCCTTCGGGGACCCGCAGCCAGTCCTGGGGAGACCGTGGTCTCAGCCTGGTGGTACCTTCCTGTTCTTACTCTGGAGGCCTGGTGAGCGGATGTGCTCTGCTCTCCCGGCCATGACTGCTGCAGTGGACCGTGTCAGTTTTGTTCACGGAACACTTGTCTCTGAGTTCAGTGCAGGGCTGCTGTGCTGTGGGTTCTGTGTTCTCAGACTTGTGGCCCTGTGTCTCACACAGTCAGTGTTCTAGCACCTGCGGTGTGGCTAGATCTCTGATAGGGTTGACCTGGCTCACGGTAGGAGAGACATGCTTGTAGCCCGCTTAATCCTTCAGGGAGAGAGCCTGCTTGTCTGCACAGTGAGCCTGGAAGACGGGCCTCGGTTGGGATTTGCCTCTGGAACTCTAGTCTACTGCTCAGGAGTATCGTCCTGTCTGTTTGCCTCTCTACTGAAGTCGTTCCGTGGAGCCACCTGGCAGATGCCCTGAGCCGTGCATAGTCTCATCTTCCTTCCTTTAAGCCGCTGGTGTTTGTTGGAACGGGCAGCATCTGCCCAGGTTGCCTGCCAGAGCACTGTGTCGTCAGACAGCTCCCTCTTGTGGGCGTCAGGCTCAGAGCCTCACTGGCTGGCTGCCACCTCTGCGGCTGCCCAGGTCAGGTGTGTGGCTTCAGGACTCCTCTGTGGTGCAGGTCCATCTAGCATTGTGGAAGTGTCATCAGCAAGTGTCACAGGTCACCTGTGATGAGAGCAGGCTCCCCACGTGCTCTCTGTGTGGTTCTAGAGCGTCAGCACCCTGGAGTGTGGGCGGGGCCTATGTTCTGACAGCTGCACATGCTAGCCCTAATTACCAATGATGCTGCACTGGATCTACCCACTGAGACGGGAGAGCCCAGGTGCCCTCTGGGTTCACCATTCTAGTGAACCTCGGAGCTGGACCACTCCAAATCCAGGTGCCTTCAGTGTGCTCTGCCTACTCTGCAGGGGAGCTGCCTGCCATCGCTCCTCACCTGCAGACATGAGCGCCTCCTCTTCCTTCTTTTTCTGTGTGGTTCCTCTGCTGGGCTCTGTGGTGGGCTGTGTGTGCTCTTGACAAGCTCGGCTTCGGGGCGCCCCTTGCTCTGATACAGTCAGGGGAGGAGTGATTTGGTTTCCAGTATTTAAATAAATACTACCTAGGATGAGCTGCCTGGAGCTGCCTGGTCTTAGCTCAGTGAAGCCTAGCTAGGGCTGCTCCTGTATTCTGCTATGCTGTAGCGCTGCCTTTCTCTTGGAGAGCCCAGAGGATGGAGGGCCTGGGCACACTGGCTTGAGAAGGGCCATGAGGTCATGTTGAGCACTCAGGCCGGGCTCGGTGGTTGTTGGTGGGATGATCGGTCCTCTGCTGTGAAGGTCAGTGGTCGCCTCTGCAAGGTCTGCAAGCATCTTGTTTCTGCCTTTGTACCTGACTTATGTAAACTGGAATTCACACTTTGAAAGTAACCAGTGAGAAGTCACACTGTTCAGGAATGTCACCCATCCACAGTGGCTTCCTGTGACGGCGGGAGAGAAGAGCTGCTCCAGTGTCTGGAGGCCATGTCCGGTGTCAAGAGCCAGAAGCTGAGCAGATGGCAGCTCCTGTCATCTCCCAGGCAGAAGAACCCTGCCTGCCAAGAGACAGGGTGCTGCTTGGTCTCCATCCCACCCTCTGCCTTGGGCTGAGCTGCCTTTCTGCTTCTTGGAGGTTGAAGCTTATCTGCTTTTATTCTGTTCTAAGCCACAAACATGGGAGTAAAGACGGCCAGTACCCGAGGCTGGGATTGGCTGCTGTCTCGGGTTAGCTTGGCGCTCTCCTGCACGGACTTTGTGAATCTTCTCCAGGCTCTGGGTATTTCCCGTTCCAGGGACTGATTTACAGTGTCTGGGACTGGTCATAGATTATGAAAATGTCCACATTCCGTGTCCAGAGCTTTGTAGCCAAAAGGAGGGTTGGGGCAGGTGCCCCGTGTTTCACAAAGGATCATGATGTCATATAAGTTGTGAAAGTCTATTTTCCCTATAAATCTATTTTTCACAGAATATAAGAAACATCTCTGTCCTTTCCACTTGACTCAAGACCCTCACTCCAGAACAAACCTGGTGACTATTTGTATAAGATGCTATTTTACCACAAGAGACAGTAATAAAGATTTTCACAATACATCTGTGATGATATGTTATTTATGATTTATTGAAGTTTGCCTGAGGATAGAGAAAGCAAAGCCAGCCTCAGTCACAGAGCAGTGGTGATGCACCCTTAATCCCAGGGCTCAGGAGACAGGCACATGGTTAGTTCAAGGCCTCAGGGAACTACATGAAATGAATCCAGTCCTAAAGAGAAGCAGCTCACACTAAGGTGTCTCAGCACTTGGATCACACCTTTAATCCCAGGATTTGAGAGATACAAAAAGAAGAAGCAAAATCAATATTATACATATTTGTTCTCCAGCCACACTGAGGACAGGACAGCTCTTCCAGCCTGAGGTGGAGGTAAGAGCTAGTGTCTGCTTCTCTGATCTTCAGCTTGAAGCTTGAACACCAACAACTGCACCTGGGTTTTTATTATTTTTGTTACATACATACATAGATACATACACACAAATTCACTGAAAAGGCCACTTTGAAGCCGCTGGCCCGGGCCTGGGTCTGAGCCCCTGCTGGTATCCTTACCAGACTGCCTAGGTTTTCTTTTCCCCCCACATCTTTGAGCAAGCTTGGGATTTTCCTGTTGTCTTTCTCAGCAGTCTGCAGCTGCCTCCCAAACTTGGGAGGTTTGCCTTCAGGCACTCCCATTTCTAACAATCCCACGTGCATTTTTTTTTATTCCCCCCCCCCCCCACCGACACTCCAGGTTGTGGACCTTTCCCTACAGCCCCTCTGCTTGTGTTGAGAACTCAGCTCATGGCCACAAGCTAGTGCTCCGATTGAGATGTGCTCCACCTCACTGTCTGCAGACTTGGTAAGACTATTGAGGACTCTTAAAGGACGGGCTTAGTTAAAAAAGTTTTCCCACATTAGAAAGTGGGAAACGGGCACTAGAGAGATGGCTCAGTGGCTAAGAGCACTGGCTGCTCTTCCGGAGGACCCAGGTTCAGTTCCCAACATCCTCATGAAAGCTCACAACTGTCTGAGACCCCAGTTCCAGAGGAAGCAGAGCTCACAACTATTCATAACTTCGTTGAGCACACCCTCACACAATATATAAATAAAAAGGAAGAAAATCAATTTTAGAGAAATTGAGAAACATTACAATGGAGTTAGGTCTCTATGATTACGTCATGGATGATTTAAAAATGGAAAAATTAAACAAAAGGGTAATCATCTGGGATGTTAATTGTTAATTATAAGTTTGATAATTCTTGGTTTATCTCTAAAGTTAGTTGGTTGATGTGAGTGCCAAGATGGAGGTCTTAGAAAAACAATAAAGCAGATCATAAAATTGTTGGTATCCAGACCGGAATTTAATGGAGAACCAAGCTCAGCATTGCATTGTAAGGTTAGAAATGAACAGTGTAAGGCTATAAGAAAGCCAGCCACACAGGAAGAGCCAAATGGTAGAGCTGTGAAAGCTAACTGGACGCCTGTGATAGTGTTAGACTTAGGGAAATTGAAGGAAGCTGTAGTCTCACGGCTTGCAGTCACCATTTGTGAAGCAGGTGTTAAACACACGTTCATTTATAATAGGGTTATCCCTGTAGACTGGATAAACTTGATTAAAGCTATTCTAGAGCCTGGTCCACAATTACAATGGGCTTCCTGGTTCACAGAAGAGGCTAAGAGTATTGACCAATGGGCTAAAGCCAAAGGTGTGGCTATCTCCCAAGATCAACTTATTGGAGAAGGAGATTTAATTTCCAGACAGGGAAGGCATTTGTCTCAGGATTCATGGAGCTAGCTGGATTACTCTTTCGGTCTGAGGTAGAGGTAAGAGCTAGTGGCTGGCTGCTTTGCTTATCTGACCCTCAGCTTACCCAACCTGCCTCTGGGTTTTTATTTTTTAATGGTAACATGTCTACTCTGTCTCGTCTCCTGATTGGGCCACGGTGGTGGTGGCTCCCAGTTCCTCTCCCAGAAATTGCATTTCTGGTGACTCTGGTGACCCTCCCTCGTTTCTAGCTGCGGAACAGAATTAGGCTTCACCATTTTTTTCTGCTGCATGTTTTACTCAGGGACTCTCGAATGTTTGCCTGCTGGAGGGATGAAGGGATGGGATGGGGGCTGGAGGGGACAGGGAGGGACGGGTGAGGTATGGAGGGATGGGCCATGGTCAGGTGGGTAAGAGCACTGGTTGCTCTCCCAGAGGACCTGGATTTTGACCCAGCACCAAGCTGATCATTGTCCTCTGGCCTCCAAGGGCAACAGGCGCACACACGGCACCCAGACATACACACAGGGAAAAGACATACAAACCCACATATATTTATTTTTAAAGCCTGTTTTCTTGGTATTTGGGTTGTGGTGGTACTGGGGGTCAAACCTCATGCTTTATGTACACTATCACAAGCGCTCTTCCATCGAGCTGTGTCCCAGCCCTAAAGGAAGGCTCAATAAAGTGTATGTGCCAGTAAAATTGACCTCATTTGTGAGTACACTTCTGAGTTAGACGTGGTGTCAACACTACTTTAATCCAGTGCTTTGGGGGGCAACGTGTAGATGTAGACGGAGCTGGAGGAGGGTCTTTAATCCCAGAGGAGGATGAAGGCCGGCAGATCTGCCCGGTGAGATGGCCTTTATGAAGAGCATCCAGAAGGAGAAAAGCCGCCTGCCTTGTATGGCTGGAGCAAAGATGGCGGCTCAGGGAGCCAGGGATTATGCTATCAGGATGTAGAAGTGGGTGGGCAGAGGTAGGGACTAGCTCTTTTCTTCTCCTAATACTGGAATCCAGTACCTTATGTCTCTAGGTAAGGGCTCTACCACTGAGCTGTAGTCTCCAGATAACCACAAAGTTGCCCACGCTGACCTTGAATTTACTTTGGAACACAGGGAGGCTTGGGACTCAAAATCCTCCTGCCTCAGACTCACAAGTCGCTAGGATTACAGGCTTGGACTGGGGTGATTTTGTGTGTGTGTGTGTGTGTGTGTGTGTGTGTGTGTGTGTGTGCCCTCGCGTGTTCATGCGCTATTTGTATAGAACTGGATTTAGGGGATGGGTTCGCGGACCGAGGATTGATTGCTCGTTTTTATTTTATGTACATTGGTGTTTTGCCAAGGGGTGTCGGGTCCCCTGTAACTGAAGTTACAGACAGATGTGAGCCGCTATATGAGTTCTAGGAATTGAACCCAGGTCCTCTGGAAGAGCATCCCAATGCTCTCAACCGCTGAGCCATCTCTCCAGCCCCTTGTTGTTGTTGTTTGGTTTTTATGCCTCTGCGTTGTAAGCAGCCCTTGCTAACGATGAGGGCTGGAAAAGGAGCTTTGCACTTTGACAAAGGAGCTTTGACAGACTTTTTTCACTCCGCGGATTGGCGGGAGTTGAGGTCCCTAGGGCGCAAGCGTGTGTCGGGCCCCTCCCTCTAAGGCAGATGGGCGTGGCCAGCCCCGCCCCTGCGGTCGCAGCGCAGACGCTGCTGAGGTCCGGGAGGTCCGCGTCCATGGCCGCCGCGCTGCTCGCCCGGGCCGGTGGCCCGCTCCGCCGAGGTGAGTGCGCTCGGGCCGCGTCCGCGGAGCCCCAGGGCCGCTCGCACGGCCGAGATGCTGGCGGCGGCTCCTGCCGCGCGCGGGCGGGCGGGACGGCGCCACCCTTGGCTGCGCGCGCCCTTTGCCCTAGTTCGGTGGCCTCTGGCGCGTGCCCGGCCCAGGCTCTGCAGGGACCCCGGCTCCTGCTCGGCTCCCTTCTTGTGCGAACCCCATCGCCAGTTCCTCTTTGCACCGCCGCATCCACACCCATGCATCCCCATTCCAGCTCCAGCAGAGGTCCTGGGTGAGTTGGTCCTCTGTTTCGAGGCCTGGCTTTGAACTCCGACCTGTGACCTTGGACGCAACTCGCAGCATCAGTCGGTCCAAGTGGGAACTGTTACTGTCCCCGGAGTTGTCTTAAGTCACAGGATACGAATAAAATAAGCGCGGTTGGCATCTAACAGGTGTCCCATAACGATAGCCTTATTTACTTGTTTGTTTATTTTTTACATTTTTTTTTTTCGAGACAGTGTTTCTCTGTGTAGCTTTGTGGACCAGTCTGGCCTCGAAGTCACAGAGATCCACCTGCATCTGCCTCCCGAGTGCTGGGATTAAAGGCGCCAGGCGCCTTAAGTTATTTTTAATACTATTTTGTCTTATTTGTAGCAACCCTGAACCAGGTTCACAGTCACAATCAATGTGTGCTAAATCAGCTCCTGGGAGCTTCGTTCTGTTGCTTTCCACACTTTATAGAACTCCAGTCCCAGTGAAACTTAAAACCCTTTTCCGAGGTGTTGTAATTGGGATTATCCTGAGGGTTCAGTGTGTGGCCAGCAGTTAAGCTTTCCGTTAGCCTGGGCTTTTCAGTAACAACCCTATTGACATTGACATTGTATCAATAAAGTGTTTTTTCTTTTTTTGTTTTTGTTTTGTTTTGTTTTTTGAGAAGGGGGTAGGGACCCTGGGAGTAGTGCTCTATTTTCATCTTAAAAGTTTATAAGTTTATTTTATGAGTACATACAAGTGTTTTTGCTTTCGTGTAAGTGTGCCACACACGTGTGCCCAGAGGCCAGAGCATTATCAGATCCCCTGGAACTTTAGTTACAGACAATCCTAAGCCACCCCGAGGGTAGTGGGAACTGTGTTACTTCCTCTGTGAGCAGCAAGTGCTCTTAGCTGCTGAGCCTGCTCTCCAGCCCCTGGGACGGAATCTTGATCTATTGCCTAGGCTAGCCTGAACTCCAGGCTTAACCGACACCCTACCTCAGCATTTGCTGGGGACCTGAGTTCACATTCCAGCACCCATGTTGGGCAGCCTGGAACTCCAGGTCCACGGGATCTGACGCCCTCTCGTGGCCTCCATGGGCCCCTACATGCACGCGCACGTGCACACACACACACACACACACACACACACACACGTAACGGAAAAAGAAATAACTCTTAAGACATCTTGTTCACCTCTCATAGTGCTCCAGCCTCGAGAGTGGCGCAGGTTACATACTGTTTACCAATCTGTGGAACTGCCCGAGACGCATCAGATGTTGCGTCAGACGTGCCGTGACTTTGCCGAGAAGGAGCTGGTCCCCATTGCAGCCCAGCTGGACAAGGAGCATCTCTTCCCCACGGCTCAGGTGAGGACAGCAGCCTCAGCCACTTGTCCTTGTAAGAGTGGCAGTGGCCAGAGGCCCCGAGACCTCAGGCAGGAAGCTCAGTACATGCTCAGAAGGTTTTAAAACATTTATTAATTTAATGCCTGTGTGCGTGCCTGCTTTTCAGCCTGTGTATCATGTGTGTGTAATACCCGTCAAGGCCAGAAGAGGGTGTCTCCTGAAACTGGAGTTAACAGGCAGTTTCAGCTACCATGTGGGTCCTGGGAATTGAACCCTGGCCCTGTGCAAGAGCACCAGGTGTAACTGGGTGGTGGTGGTGCACGCCTTTGATCCAGCACTGGGAGGCAGAGGCAGGCGGATCTCTGTGAGTTCGAGGCCAGCCTGGTCTACAGAGCGAGTTCCAGGACAGGACACACAGAGGAAACCCTGCCTGTGCCCGGCTCAGGTGGCACAGACTCTCTCACCTAGAGGCAAATGGGGAGAGCCAGGCTGGGCGTGGTGGCACACACCCTTAATCCCAGAGACGCCTAGAGCTCTGGGAATTTGAGGGTGAGTTCCGGGACTATAGCGGGAGTGAAGCCCAGGGCGTGGACATTCCTGAGCTCTTTGCTGGGGAATGGTTTTATTCCCCAGAATAATACTGGCAGGTTTGCCAAGGGGCCGAGGGGTCTCCGTGAGCAGTGGGCAAGACTTGGGGGTGGGGGTTAGTTTCTGTCTTGTTGGCTGCTGTTTCACAACCAAATTGGACTTTAGTCTTTTTATGCCTAAACTAACAAAGGGGAGAAATCTGAGTTTACAATGCCAGTGTTTACAGCTTCCATTCTTAACCTTGAGATGGTAGTTGTTTGGGGTGGGGTGGGGTAGGGTGGGGTGCTGTGCTACACTTAAGAGCCCTGGGCCCTGCAGATGCCCAGAGGATGAAAGAAAGCAGGAGGGAAGAGAAGGCCATGGCTGCCCCGGGTGTGGTGGAGGGGAAAGTTTATTGTAGCTGTGTGCCAGACCACAGTCAGAGGCAGGGACATCATCTAAGAGCCGCAGTGGGCATGACCAGGCTGAGCTGGGCCATGAGGGGAACCTTGTGCAGCCAGGAAGACAGAGACACAAGAAGGGCAGGGAACCAAATGTCTGGGTTACATGGGAAGAGCCTCTGGGGGCCAGGCTGTCCTAGTTCAGTGTAGAGGGCCGGGTATGCGAGCCCTACATACCCTGTAACAGGCAGGGACTGAGGGATGCTGGGAGAACCTGGTGGCCAGGTCCAGCTTAGATACGTTTCATAGGCACCTGAGCCATTTGTCCTGGGGTTCAGCAGGTGCAAGCAGGGAGGATTCCCAGCAGGAGAAACAGTAAAATGGAATGCTCGCGCATGCACTCATGTAGGGGCTGAAGAAGTCAGTGTGGCATATTGCTTCTCCTTACCCCAAGTCCTCCAGTGGGCACCCTCTGCCTGTTCCCTGTGGGCAGAGATGCAGGCATTGCTAAGTGTGGAGGCTGCGTGGCTGGGGTGGACGGTACTGTCATTGAATCTCCCCTGGGGGATGCTATCACCGTGTGAATGTCAGCGTCTGTGGCCTGGCTCCGGCTCCCGCTGGAGGGTTGGAGTTGGGAGACCACAGTCAGAGGCAGGGACATCATCTAAGAGTCACGGTGGGGTTGTTTGCGGGGAAGTGGGGGGGGTGCAGCTGCCGCTGGTGTGATCTATCTCCCTTGGTCCAGGTGAAGAAGATGGGTGAGCTTGGGCTGCTGGCTATGGATGTCCCGGAGGAGCTGAGCGGAGCCGGCCTGGATTACCTGGCCTACTCCATTGCCCTGGAGGAGATCAGCCGCGGCTGTGCCTCCACTGGGGTTATCATGAGTGTCAACAATGTGAGCCCCCCTGGGTCCTGGGCACAGTTGGGGAAGCTGCCTGGGCTATGTGTGGGCGCTGGCCTGTGCGCACAGCCAGCTTGGGCTCCTGGACTCATCTTGTAGTCACCGGGGCTTTGGTCCCCTGGGAGGGCTTGCGGGGATAGTGAGTCTTGGGCTGCCTCCAACTCTCCGCCCTCCCCCAGTCTCTCTACTTGGGGCCCATCCTGAAGTTTGGATCCCCAGAGCAGAAGCAGCGGTGGATAACCCCTTTCACCAGTGGAGACAAAATCGGCTGCTTTGCTCTCAGTGAGCCAGGTACTGCTCGAGCAGGGCCCCCCACCTCAGATTCAGGGTGACAGGCGGAAGCCAGATGTCCCCAGAGGGAGAGGCAGCCCGGGGCCTGCACCCGTGGAGGGGCCTGGACACACCGGGAAGCAGTGTGCACTTGGGGTGGCAGGAATGTGTCCCATGCCTGTTCTGACCCCACATCCTCGTGGATGAGTCTCTAAAGCGCTGGGGGCCAGGTCTGAGCTGTGGAGCCCAAGTGTCAGGGTCTCTGCTTGGCAGCAGGGCTCACAGCTGGATGCCCTGTGCCTTGAGGGCTGTGTGTGTGCTGGCTCCTGAGTCTGTGTCCCTGGCAGGGAATGGCAGTGACGCAGGGGCTGCCTCCACCACGGCCCGGGAAGAGGGTGACTCGTGGGTCCTCAACGGCACCAAAGCCTGGATCACCAACTCCTGGGAGGCTTCGGCCACAGTGGTGTTTGCCAGCACAGACCGGTCCCAAAAGAACAAGGTGGGAGCCCAGAGTGGGCCAGCACACCCCTGGGATGGTTCTTCCAGAACCTTCCTGCTCAGGCTGAGGTAGGGCTTTTCTTTCTGCAGTGGAGTTGATACTCCTCCCCAAAGCCAGCAGAGGGCACTGGGGATGGAGGAGGTGGGGGGGGGGGTAGGGCTTGAGCTCAGGTGTCTGTGTGGGGCTCTAGCTGCAGCTCTGGGGAGTCACCCTAACTTTTGGGACCTTACAGGGTATCAGTGCCTTCCTGGTGCCCATGCCAACACCCGGGCTCACACTGGGCAAGAAGGAAGATAAGCTGGGCATCCGGGCCTCATCCACGGCTAACCTCATCTTTGAGGACTGTCGCATCCCCAAGGAGAACCTGCTGGGCCAGCCAGGGATGGGCTTCAAGATCGCCATGGTGAGCCTGGCTGCAGGGCAGCTCCCTGGGGCCAGGCCCTGGGCCCAGCCTGCAGCTAACAGGGCGGTCCCCACAGCAAACCCTGGACATGGGCCGCATCGGCATCGCCTCCCAGGCCCTGGGCATTGCCCAGGCCTCCCTCGACTGCGCTGTGAAATACGCTGAGAACCGCATTGCCTTTGGGGCACCCCTTACCAAGCTCCAAAACATCCAGGTAGGGCTGCGGGATGGTGCTTCAGGGGCTGGGCCTGGGCTGCGGGAGGGAAGCCTTGCTTTTTGACTTGCACAACCTTACTCCTACCTCTCTTACCCTTAACACTCCCACCCCGACCCCTGACCGATGGGTGGGGCTGGGTCCTTGCAGTTCAAGCTGGCAGACATGGCCGTGGCCCTGGAGAGTGCCCGCCTGCTGACCTGGCGTGCTGCCATGCTGAAGGACAACAAGAAGCCGTTCAGCAAGGTGCCTGGGGGGGTGCGGGGGGCCCCCAAGGCACACCCTGAGGTGGGGGGAGGGGCACCCCGGCCTTTGAAGGAGAAATGGATGCAGGCCTGCAGGTCTGCTGTGCTAAGCGGGGAGGGGGCTGTGCACACTGCTGTCCAAGGTCTTGAGCAGAAGGTCTCTGAAAGTGAAGGTGTTGACTGCCATTCTTGGTGGGCAGGAGTCGGCCATGGCCAAGCTGGCTGCGTCTGAGGCTGCGACCGCCATTAGCCATCAGGTGAGCGCCCGGAGCCCCTCTCCCAGCCATGCTTCTGTGACCCAGCCCCTGCCTGTGTCCCAGTGTGAGTGAGTGCCTGCCTGCCTTCCCTCCTAGGCCATCCAGATCCTGGGCGGCATGGGTTACGTGACAGAGATGCCAGCCGAGCGGTACTACCGAGACGCCCGCATCACAGAGATCTACGAGGGCACCAGCGAAATCCAGAGACTGGTGATTGCCGGGCACGTGCTCCGCAGCTACCGCAGCTGAGCCCCTGGGTCGGGGCTTGCCCGCCTGCGGCCAAGGGCGGGGCCTCATGACCGGTCAGACCATGAAGGGACCTGTCCCCGACGGTACCCTCCCAGCCAGACTGGGAGGAAAGGCCAGCCGCCGTGACCTGTGACCTGTGAGTTGTCACCTCGGAACTTGGCTAGTTTTTTACAGCCCTGCACAGCGCCTGTTTTCATCCGAGCGAGCGGCCTGCTGCAGGCGGGGCTAAAGGACTCTGGCACTCACAGCGCTGTCCCCATGAGCCCTGCTGCCCAGCAGCCAGAACACAAGGAACAGGGTAGGGGCGGGGGGGGGGGGCGAATGAGCAGGCCTCCACGGCAGGAATTTCAGTGTTGAGTCCCCAGAGTCGACTTGGGATGGCTGGGGCCGTCGTCAGAGGTCAAAGCGAATGCGGGTGTGTGCTGTGCTGGGCAGCTGTAACTGCCTGTGGCCAATAAAGCCACCTGGACCCTGCCTCTGTGTCCGTCTTCCCTGGGCGCCCTGGCAACAGTGTGTGCGGTGTGGGGAAGCTGGCCTGTTTTCTGGTTCAGTGGCCACCGGGGGCTTGGACTGGAGGGTTCATCTAAGTCCCAGTGTCCCACAGAACAGCTGGGCAGGGGACAGGAGCTGTTGCATACAGACTGCTGTGAGCTTTGCTGGCCTTGAGTGACACAGGAGCTTCACCTGGGACTTCAGGCTCTGATGGGCAGGTGGGCTGGGGTGAGGGCGGGCCGGGCAGCCGCAGTGCCTTCCGGGAAGGAGGCGCAGCTGTCTCTCAGAAAGCATCTCCAGGAGGAGGCCACGCAGCATGCAGGCCTGTTTCTCCTTTCCTCCTGGCTCCAGGTGAGTACCAGAAGGTTTCTCTCCGCTGTCCCTAGGCTCCCTGAAGCTTGTCCTACTGCCCTGGGCTCAAGTACCAGCCAGACTTGGAGACAGCAGAGTGGGTTATGGGTCAAGTTTAGCTCATACTAGCACTGGGCAGGGCTCCTGTCAGGGCGGGGCAGGAAGGGATGGGGTGTGTGGTCAGCAGAGCAACAAGGGCCCCTGGCAGCCCGAGCTGCCACTCCTGCATCCGAGCGTTGTCATGGCTGTGAGCTGTGCCCAGCAAGAGCTGGCCAGCATGGATTTCTACATCTCCGGACTCGTGCCCAGCCTCAGGGTGCAGGGCAGCTCAGGAGGGCCATGAAGTGTCTTTTTCCACGGCGAAGAAACTTAGCACCGAGCCAAGCTCTGGTGTGCACTACGGGGCTGTTGCAAAGGGCTGTCCTGAGTTCATAGTCTGTCGCTCTCCTAGGTGGTGGCAGCGGCTCGGCATCCACAAGGGCATAGCTTGTTTGTTCACTTAGAGCTTGAGTTCTTTTTTTTTTTTTTTTTTTTTTCTTTTTTTTTTTTTCTTTTTCGGGTTTTCGAGAAAAAGGTTTTCTCTGTGCAGCCCTGGCTGTCCTGGAACTTGCTCTATAGACCAGGCTGGCCTCGAACTTGGAGATGCGCCTGCCTCTGCCTCCCTAGAGAACTTGAGTTCTGAGTTCTCCCCTTGGGTACATTTGAACCTGAACTGCTGTGCAGCCAATTGCAGACACCCTGGTCCGAGTTTTTGAGCAGGTGCAAGATGGGAAACTCAGCCTCCGGGGGGGGGGGGGAGGAGTGGGGGGCTCGGTTCAGCTCGGCCACTTTTCTCAGGGTTACATGTTGCTGCTGGCCTGAGACTAAGCACTGATTCTGGCTTCAGGGTCACACGGGACGGCACGTCAGCCTGCAGCTGGCTTTTGTGGCTCTGATCTTTTTGAAGCATCCGGGCTGGTGGCTCAGTGGACGATCCTCCAGGGTTGTTCAGTCTGATGACTTTGTCCTGATTCGACTCAGGTGCGGTATTAACGCCTGCCTGGAGTCAGGTGCGACTGAGTGCCTCTGTTTTATTAATTATATTCGTCGTTCCAAAGAGCTGTTGGCTTTATTGACTGACTGTCAGTATTGTGTTTTAAAACTGCGTGTCTGTGTGTGGGGCGGGTGGAGAGCACTTGCTGCTCTTCCAGAGGACCCGAGTTCGGTTCCCAGCACCAGGGGTCCGCCAGGGGACTGCTTGGGCACCAGCGCTCATGTGGCGCGCACACAAAAATAGTTTTTTTTTTAGAAGGGAATATTACTATTTTAACCATTTTAGTGGCCATTAAGGACACTGGCAGTGTTTGGAGAGTCAGTTATTCCAGAAAGGAAATCCCCATTGTCACTGACTTCACCTTGCTTGTGTTGTGGCCTCGGGTGTTTAAATCTGCTGAAACTTGTTAGTTTCTCACCCCCTTTTTATGAAACGGGTTCTCACTATGGAGACCTGGCCAGCCTGCCTCCCTGGGATTAAAGGCAATTATTCAGAGAGAGGGAGGAGAGAGAGGGAGAGAGAGAGGGAGATCATACAGGATCTGATGCTTCTGGCTAACCCTAAGTGCAGACTCCCTCCCTCCCTCGTCTTCAGACAACGTCTAGGTCTAATCCAGTCTTGGTTTGAACTCATGATTATCCTATCTGTTTTCCAAGGGCTGGGATCACCGGTGTGAACCATTACTCTGGCTCTTCACTCTCTCTCTCTCTCTCTCTCTCTCTCTCTCTCTCTCTCTCTCTCTCCAAGGGTTATGTTTTGGGGACAGGGTTTCATGTGTCCCAGGTTGGCCTCAAACTCAGTATGTAGCCTTGAACTTGTGACACACTGAGTCCAAGACCTGAGATGGTCTTGAGGCATGGGGATGTGGTTCCTGGCAGAGCATTTGCCCGGCACGCACACAGCCCTGGGTCCCATTCCACGTCATCAAAGTAGTCGTGAGCCAGGCCCTGGTGGCACACGCCTCTAATCCCAGTCCTCGGGAGGCAGAGGCAGGCGGATCTCTGTGAGTTCAAGGCTGGCCTGGTCTACTGAGAGTTCCAGGATAGCTAAGACTACAAAACAAAAGAGCTCACGGTGGAGAATGCGCATAATTTCAACACGTGGGAGGCGGAGGATGGAGGGTCAAGGGTGCTGTTTGTCAACATTGACCATTCGTGTGCTCATCTCTGCGTCATACAATCTTGTTTATTTTAAGCTTTGCAGACACACGGTTCTGCCACATCTGCAGGTCATTAGGTAAGCTGGGCTGTGAATCTCTCTTCACTGTAGTCTAGGTGGAGGCAGCTGGACTAGGAGGCGTTAGCCAGCGGTCTGGTGCTCTCTCTGCGTTCGTCCTGAACTGACGCTGACTCCAGGCTCTTGAAATGAACCACTATTTCCTCTTAATTTCTTTTTTTTCTTTTTTTTTTTTTTTTTCCTTCTTTTTCCTTTTTTCGAGATGGGATTTCTTTGTGTAGCTCGAGCTGGCCTGCCTCTGCATCCCAAGTGCTGGGACTAAAGGCATGTGCCACCCTGCCCAGTGTGTCTTTTATGTCTTAGATGGGGCGCTAGGGAGCTCTGGGTCGTGGTGTGAGCCCTGGTGACAGGGATGACCCACGGAATTATTGAGGCTCTCCCACCAACGGTTTTGCTCCCACTGAACCCTGAATAAAACAGAGCAGGATGAATGCAGGGGATTCTACAGGCAGCAGGGGCTGATGGAAACCCCGCAGCTGAAGACGCATGGAATTTTCAGGAGAATGGATGGCACAGGGGAGCAGTGAGCACCAAGGGTTGGAGGTTGACTGTTCCCAACCTAGGGACCCGGAGTTCTTGCAGCTGGATTCCAGAGTCGCTTGGAATCCTGTTTCTTCACCTCCTTCTCTTCCCTCCCTACGTGTTTGCCCCGCCCTGCCTGCCCCGCTCCGCCCCTGCCTGCCCCGCCCCACCCCTGCCTGCCCCGCCCCTGCTCCGCCCCGCCCCACCCCGAAGGATTTGGTTGTTTTTTAACTTTGTAGTCCCTGGGTGGGTAGAACTGTACCTACAGCCGGCCTCATATAAGCTTTAGATGGTATAAATGGTGAGATTTGAGACCTTTGAGCCAGCCAGCTGTTGATTTTTTTTTTCAAACATTGGTTTTAGGTTTTCATTGCTGTGAAGAGACACCATGACCATTGCAACCCTTTAAGAGTTTTTATTATGTACAGTGTTCTGCCTGCATGGATCCCTGCAGGCCAGAAGAGGGCGCCAGATCTCATTATGAATGGGTGTGCGCCACCATGTGGTTGCTGGGAATTGAACTGAGGAACTCTACAAGAGCAGCCAGTGCTCTTAACCTCAGCCTCCTCTCCAGCCGTCATGTCAACTCTTATAAGGAAAACATTTAATTGAGGTGGCTGGCTCCCTTACAATTTCAGAGGTACAGTCTGTTACCATGACGAGGGAACATGGCGGTGTGCAGGCAGACGTGGTGCTGGAGCCCAGAGTGCTACATCTGGAAGGCGACAGGAAGTCCATTGACACTGGGCAGTATTCTGGGCATAGGAAACCCAAAGCCCCCTCCCATAGCGACACACTTCCTCTAACAAGGCCACACCCACTACAACAAAGAAAGCCACACCTAATAGTGTCGCTCCCCATGAGATTATGGGGGCCAATTACATTCAGACTACCACAGCATTATAATTTATTTAGAGCATGAGTATGTATGTATGTATGCATGCATGTGTGTTTATGTGTATATGTCTGTAAATGTATGCATGTGTGTACATTCGTATGTGTATATGTGCATATGTATATGAATGTATTTATGTGTGTGCATGTATGTATGTGTGTATGTATGTATATGTGTGTGTACATTGGGAAAACAAAGGACGACTTTCTGGAGTGCTCTCATGTTCCACTATGTGGGTCTCAGATAGGACACAAATCCTCGGCCTTTTCCTGCCAAGCCATCTGCCCAGTTTTCCAACCTCATGATGCTCGTGGTTTTCTAAAATATGAAGTACGTTTATAATTGTCCTTTAAAACACTGCTTGGCTATTTCTGTCACCTAAACATCTCTGGGGGCGGTTTCTTTTCTCCTAGGGTCATGGTCTGCTGTTTCTGTACATACCCATTGATTTACAAAAAAAGAAAAACTGGGTAGCAGTCACCGTAAAATTTAT